GCTTTTCTTTGGAAATGAAGAAGAACTCTGTTCAGATGTTCTGCAGGGATGTTTTTTCAATAAGAATCTTATTTTACTGCAAAGTACAGTCTGACACACTAGGCTGCGCCCTCTCCGACTGCTTCATATTCATGTGTCATGTGATAGATGCAAGCTTCATATAATTCATTTTTCCAGGACTTCCCTGGAGGGAACAGAGGGAGCTCAGAGCACAGCTGTCTTTGAGGACGCGTGTGTGGGAGCACAGGTATGGGATGCTTCAGTCCAACACGCTCCCCACAGTGTCAATATTTGCATAGTATTCTGAGATTTGAAGAAAGGCAACTTGTTTCAGCATTTATAGATGTGGTTAAAAAAAATCCTCCCAGTTACAAACTCACATACAGGCTGAACCCCCCCCTGCTCGGTTGAATCAAATACTAGGGTTTATTGATAGTGGTGGATGTATATTTATTTGTATAAGAGATTTAGAGCAAAGAAGTTGTGACTAGAAAAAAGGTAACAAACACCGAGAAATGTAAGAATAACGACAAATATTGAAAAATACCCAGTTGATGGTAAATATCTAAATGTACCTCTGGATAAAAATGATTTAAGCCACACATCACATTTATTTTCCCCATGCTGGTTTCCACTCTTACACAAACTGGCAGCACTATTGTGAGGAGTATTTATTTGAAATCAAACTAACCAGGCTAGTTTGTCTTGGCAAAGAACAGGTGGAGCATTTCCATTTTCAGGAAAATAAACTGTAAATACTCAAAATTTGCTGAATAAAAGTAAATAAACAGGTGAGACAGCTGTCAGTTGATTGGTTTCTCAAACACGTTTCAGTGCTTTATAAAAATAATAGAACTGAATTACATCAAATCACTTCAAAACAAAAAAACCCTAATATGTTTCGAAGTCATTTTATAAGCAACACTAAGTATCACACACATGTTAAGTAGAAGGAAATTTACATTTTTTATGATCTGGTAAATACAAATCTGTGTGATGTCTATTGCTCCCTAATCCGCTATTACTATATTACCCCTTTATAAAATTCAGTGCAAATTATAATCTTTCAGTTTAGGAAACTTCATCATGAAGACACAGAAATAAGTAATAAATGGCTAAATGGATTTAGTCTTAACTAAAAATGCTTCAAACCTTTTAAGACTAGAAACTGGAGTAGCTGCACTAATCCACATTTTGGATATGTTTTGTTTTGTTTTTTATAGAAAAAGGGACAAGGGGAAAGGCATTGTTAAAAGAAAACCTACTGGATGTACAATTTGCAGTTTACCACGAACCATGTAGAGGAAACATCAATATATGAAGGAAGGAGCCATATGCTCACTGCTAAATAAGATGGTGGCAGCATCATGCTTTGGAGGTGCTTTTCTTGAGCTTTTATTCATTAAACATCCATATTGCTTAATTTAACCATAGATCATCTTATTTCTGTCTTTCTGTAGCCTGAAAATGTTTACCAGCTCAGGTTTGTTTATATTTTCATTAATACAGATTATGCCGTCTTGATTTAAATAATCTTTAACAAGTTGACATAAAATCTACTGCTTCGAACAGTCAGTTTGTGCATTTTATACTGTTTACAACAATTAATCTCACATTGGAAAAATGTACCTCTGAGAAGCAGTCTGGGGTTAAGGGTCTGGCTCAAGGACCCTGAATGGAAACCTGTGGGGCTCAAACTTGGAACCTCATGATTCAAAGCTCTACGCACTGACCCCTAGGCGGCCACCTCCACTTGCTTCTGTGTGTTTCCGAAAGAAAAGAATGAAGTGCTGCCTGAACTCCTGTATTTATAGCTTCTCATACAATGTGGAGGTGATGAAGAAAAAGTGTTGCAATTTAATAAAGTCCATTCGTCTTTATTTCTCTAGGTTTTGTATGTCAATATCTAATGTATTGGCTATACTTAATGGTTTGCTTAGTGCTGGTATAAAGTAGCATCACTAAGCTGATGCCAGAGCTGCCATAAGAGTGTAGCCATTGTGTTGGTTTATGGGTAAACACAGCAATGAAGCTAAAATTGAAATATTATATTAAATAAAGATAATATTAAAGCAAAACAAGGCTAAAAATATGCAAAAGAATAAAATAAATCTAAAAATCCCTCGTGTTAAGCAGGTAAACCACCGACCAAAAATAAGTCCTCTTAATTCTTTAAGTTCACAATTGTGCTAGTGACTCTGGTGTGCTACAACATGCTTTATTTCTTCTCATACTTAATGCCTGTTTGAATAAAATAAAATAATATCCTTTATTGTCACTTACACATTTCTTCAAGGTTCAGTTTAAGATGTTATTTTAGCAAATATTCAGAACCTAGGAACAAGCACTACACTAACTCAGGAAAAAAGTGTATAATTATTTTTTTTCAAGACTACAAGGTGACTCGCATCCAACTTTCAATATTAATCAAAGTTGAGAGGAACTAATATTAGCTTAGCAATATTTACTATAGGATTATGTTTAAAGATTATGTTCACCAACATAATCCTGGAGTTTGGAAAGTTACAGGTCCCAATGTTTACAGGACAAGTTTTTATGCTTTCAGTCTGAACCAAAAACCAGCCAGTGCCTCCAAGTTGGCAGGTAGCATAAAAGTATGTCAATCAGCTTAATCCCAAAAACAATTCTGACATTTTACAAATAATTAAAGTTTTTATCTTAATTATCTTCTGTTACTTGTATTGGTAAAGGAGTCTTGCACTGTTGCCATCAGTCCATATGGAAAGAGTCATTTATTTACTAATTTCCTACCTAAATAATGTAGATTTCTTTGTTTTTGGTTAATGTTTGCTTTAAATCAAACATTAACACAGATTATTAGATTATTTAAAATTTCAGTTGTTCTTGCTCACTCTTTTAACAAAAAACACTTTTAATCTTTTAAAACTTTCAAAAGTAATATTACTCTGACAAACACTCTGACATGTCTTCAAAATGGTCTAAGACGTAAAATTGAAAGTTTAGAACTGTGACTCAAAACTTTCATATTTTACTTGGAAGTGGACTCAACACTATTAGGAAGAAATGGCTTACATGTTATGGTCAGAAAGCCTGCAGAGAGACGCTGGATTCAGGAATATAATCCTGCAGCCACATTTCGGTAAAACACATAATGCTGCATTGCTCTGAGTTCTTGTTTCCTAAAGATCTCACATTGCCCATAATGATTGATGGAAGAGAGGGCTTAAATTATGAGCTCCTCACTCTTCTCCTTGCTCCCGCTCTGCATCCCTGTGGCCATCGTTTAGACTCAGGTGGTGCTTGCGGATGTAGCTGATGTGTCATTTCAGCTTTAGAGATGATAATAAGCTGCTCCCAGGTGTAAAAAGGTGTAAAAATCTAGAATAGAGTTCTAGATAAGAACTCTGTAGGTCTTCAGCGTCTTTTGCAAAGTTATTTTTTTAATGAATAAAAGTTTATGAATGGGCCTGTAGTCATTTGGCTTGGATGAGCCTAAGCTGGATTCCTTTAAACGTTTGACAGCACAAGAAACGAGGATAGAGCTGGTTTAAAGGTGTATATTAATAATATCCATCATGCAGGGGAGCATAAGACAAAACACATTTATATGCAAACCACATTTCCGTAAGAGAGAATCTCAAACTACTTTACAAGCAGACGGAAATATGATAAAAACATAGGATAAACATGTAGAAACAAAGAGAATGAAATGATTATTCATTAGATGGATCAACAGACCAAATATTACCTGTTTTTTAATAAACGATTAACTTATAGATTAAAAATGGGATTACCTGTAACACAGTTTTTGGATATAAAATTCTTAAATGAATAAAAATGGAATGAAATTGGACTTCATCTGGTACGTGAGGTTCAGTTCACTCTGCCAGGATGACAAAATGACATAATATCAGTGTTTGAGTGTGCTCTCCTTCCCGCTTTTTCTATGTTTGTACACATTGATATGTGTAATTCCGTTTAAGGAAAATAAAAATAAACATATCAAAAAAGACCTTCCCCAAAGATGACATGAAGTTCCAGAAAAACATGTAGCCTATTTAATTCTGAACCCGTAACCACGAATAACACGTACCATTTCCAGTTAACCCTGGTGCTCGTTCAGGAGAAAACCTCTCCAGGTAAATACTGTACTGTACAATCCTCCCCTCTGAATTGTGGCTTGTTCAGGGTGCGTGTTGGATGGATGGATAGAGGTGCATGTGTGTGTGATGGAGGGGGGGTTACGGAGGAATGCAAGGTGGAGAGGGTTGAGAAGAGCTGGGCGTTGAAGGGAAAAGAAGGGGTCTCTGTTTTCGATTAGGAAGATTAAAGAAGTGTGTATGAGCTTTTTGATGAAAGTGTGTTTTTATGGTATGTTTGCACCGCTGGGGCCCTGATACTTCACGGGAGCCTGATGGAGAAGCAAATGAGGGGCTAAAAAAAAGTTTTATCTCTACTCCCTGGGTTTTTTAACCTTTTTCTGTAGATCTTAATTGGTACAACAGATTTAGAAAATGAAAAGACAAATAACAATTCTCAAAATGTGGCCTATGGCTTACTGTACTGAGCAGCCAGGAAATGGCTTGTACGTTTGAATTTCAGCAGAAACTCACCCACATGTCCCATCACGGAGAACGGCAGGAACACTGCAGGCTGTGTGTGATGGCTCCCGTTCACTTCCGCCCCACAAATGTGTGTTTGCTGTATGAGAGAACATGGGGAGAAAAGAGGAATTCATGTTGATGTTTATTTGAGGTTTGCCAAATCCAGCATGGAGCTGCAGAACTGGCCTTCACGTTTTACTCCGAACCCCAGTCGGTCCTGCACCCCCAGCCAGACACACACAGCTCCTACTTTACACACACCTACCTGAACATCTTAGCCAAGGTGTATTTGTGTTTCCTTGCTCACCGTTTAGGTCCTCCCTGGGCAGGTATTTCCCTTCCTTTCCCACAGACACAAACACACACGAACCCATGCTGTAGTTGTGGAGGAGGGGGTGCTTTTTGTGGGCAGCGTGTATGAAGCTCTTGCATTGATAACCCGCAGCTCAGCCTCACTTCGTCTCACTTTGTGGCTGTCCTCATCACCTTGAACGTCCTCCGGCTCGCTCTGTCTCCTTTCTGCTTCTAACTGCTGGACCGTCTGTGGCTGCGCTCGGACCCCCTGCCTTTAGCTGTCACCATGACACCCACTGCGCCGCTTTTCCTGCTGCTGCTCCTCGGCCTTATCGGAGCTCAGGCCACCTTTGATCAATACATGGCCGCAGCTATGGGTGAGAATGACCTTTTAACCCATGAAGCCTAATTCTAAAACGCAGATGAGATGGGTCAAATCTAACAATGTTGTTTTTTTTTTTTACCCCTGTTGACCTAAAAACTTAACCTCTAATTACATTAAGATTTCAGTTATGAAATAACTTTGTTAGCCTTTAAATCAAAGAGATATTGTATTTAAAAAAATTTCCTTTGCACAAGTGAGATAAAATGTAAGTGTTTTGCATTTTTGTTTCTTAACCTTAGTTATGAAATATTAAACAAAATTAAATTTAGTTATTAAATTAAAGATTTTTTAAAAAATATTTTTTTTCAAACATTTTGAATAAAATGAAATTGGAATAAAGATGCTTTGAAAAAGGCTAGGTTCATTTTGTGCCTTTGCTGCTGTTGATTCTCTTCTACTATTTTATCAGGGTTTCTGAAGGTTTCACTATTTCCAATTTAAGAGCGTTGTGGGCAATTATTATCTATTTTTGAAATCTACATGAATTATAAAACAAAATAATCTTAATTTATACAGCTATTAAGCAATATTCTATTTAAATATTTGAGCTAGTTGAATGTATCTTTAAATTTAGGTAACTTTATGAAACTAACTTTTGGTGCTTTTTAAACCCAGGCTCCCCAACTTTGACTCTGCATTACAATATATAGCTCTGTTTTGACATTACCTTTCAGTTACAAGTAACTGAAAGGTAATGGCTTTGATTCGTGCTTTCACATATCATATGTCAATTTGACACTCAACCTCAAGTTGCCTATAGATGTGCACACTGAATGATATCAGTGTTTATTTTGGAGTGCTATTACAGAATATATATATAAAAAAACAAGCTTTCCAGACACTGGGGATATAATATATTATATATAATCTATATATTGCATCTGCCTAAAATAATTCAGAATTTTATCTTTTATTGAATTATTGAACTACGAATAAGAGTGAAGTATTTAAGGCAGAATCAATAGTAATCGAAGCTGAAAATTGCAAAATTTTCCTCAAAAGCTTTTACTATTAAAAGATATATATATATATATATATATATATATATATATATATATATA